GCCGCCCCGTTCAGTCTAAGTATGCAGCCACGCCTACCTCATCTCAGGGATTTTAAGTGTAACTACCAACAGGTCGTTGCGAGAAATATGCACTAAGGTTCTTTCTAAGTGAAAGAAAAGGGTATGTGACAAGACAATCGTAATATACCGCGTTGGTGGACGTGGCGAATGGCGTCGCACGCAATGAACGAGTTATCTTGCCTGGCCGTTTGAATATGAGTGTCACAGTGTTTGGAAAAATCGACCGAGTCGCCCCTTACGAAATCCTGACTTCGCTTGAATTCCTATGAGTTTCGCTACACCAGTCGACGAACTGACGCCTATTGAAAAGTTCATGGCCGCGCGGGTGCTAGTGCGGCGACGCGGCAAATCTCGAGTGTCTCGTCCTTTGCAAGGAAGAAGAGCTGCCGTTACGCCCTCAGATTTTCGAGATCACCTCCGAAGCCGGCAGCTGGACCAACCCGGACCGAATCGGACCGAACGATGACTCTGTTGCTCGCTTATTGTCTGTACTGTAATGGAGATCAAATCTCACCATAAACCCAGGATGAGCCTTTGAATTCATCTTATCAACAGTTAACGGTGCCGGTCGATACTTGTAGTGATTGGCAGCTCGCGCTTCTCGAGATAGATTTCCTAGTCCGGCGATTTCAGATATTCGAAGTCCAGGGTGTGTTTTCAAGCAGAATACCAGTATAGCAGTGATAAGAAAGAACACGGAAATAATGGCGATGACCTGTCAAAGGAATACTTAGCGAAGTTTAAAGCTAAACTGATGATATGAGATCTTGTCCTACCTTAGCGCCTCGTGAAGAGCTCGGCTCATCGAATAGCCGCCACATTTTTGGTTTCAGCTTCTGCCATTTACTCAAGCTGTCGTTATGGAAGTCGTCCTCCCAGCCAAATCGCTGGTAGAGTTCCTGGAAATTTTTGATTTCTTCATTTGATTTCGAATGACATACTGCTCTTGCAGGTTCTCATACACCAGTTCTGCTCGTTAAAAAGCTCGAAGGAGAGCCGTTTCATGCAACACTACCCCAGACAGGGATGACCTTTCAGTGTCTCTAGTTTCTTGAAGTTGGTCTGCAAAAGACCTTATAATCGAGGCAAACCACTTCCCCTACAGAATTCGGACCTGGACGGACAGGTAGACAGGACCACAGGGAAACCCAGTTAGAAGAGTCACCTGAGATCCGGAATCAGGTAGGCAGTAAACGCCAAAATGTTATGCATGTTGGATTATGTGCATGTTCAGCAACAGACCATATCACGTCTCACAACCTTGTCACGGTATACTACCTGTCATTCTAGTCCTATAGTATGGTTCAGCAAAGTGTTTGTGCTGAGGTTGTCGAGGGCTATTCACGTTGGTTTCGGATGTTGGGGGCTGAGCGTATTAGAGCTCTCGGCCTTATGCTCCTCCTAATGCAAGTTCAGCAACACGAGGATGGTCCAAAGGGCAGACTCAGAGAGGAGACACAATCTCCCAGTGACTTTAAATCTGAGATCGGGTGAGAAGCATAAAGGCGCACAGAGCCAGGAAAGGGTCAGCGAGTGCCCCTCCCAATTACGTTAGCTCCTGATTTTCCGACTGGATGTACCTCCGTGAAGCGGTTCACAGTTGTGTTAATCACGCATGTGCATTTCAAAATGGAGGGTATAGTCGAAGGGTGTGTCGCTCGTCGCGACCATTGACGGACATAGACTATTGCCACTTATCAGTTCCCAAGTGGCGAAGGTGATGTAATAGCAAGTGACATAACGCGAATCTGCTCCCCCAGGCCAAACAACCCTCCTACAATCAGGGTACGGTGAACTGGTGTCTATTGGGTGGATGGAAATACTGGCTTGTACGGGAGACGGGCAAGAGAATGGCAAACCTACCGCTTCGTCGGGCGACGGTGGACGATTCCTCAGTTTTGCACCAAACATTTCGAGTTGGCATCGGATTTCATGTAGGCAAGGACGCGGTGAACACCTGTGTCTGTTTTTGGTCGTACATTGTCTAATTCCGGAGAGAAATACCGCACCTCAAAATCGTCGTCCATTAGCGGGTGCGACGTCGCACGCGACGCCCACTGGCGCGGCGAATTACGATTCTCTTGCCACATACCCTGGAAGTAAAATGCGTGCCGTGTACCAAGAGGGGGATTGATCAACGGCAACTAATTTATCTTATCCCTTATCTCTGTCCAAAACCGAAAGCAGTGCTATTGTACTTCTCAAATGACTGTACGAGAAGACTGTATCGCACACAAGTACCCTAACCCAAAAACATTAACGTAACGATGAATTCACTACAGATAGCTAATAGTTATTCGAAAATAAACCCACTGGTCCATCCGCGTTATCGACTTCGATGTCGAGCTCGTCTAAGGTTTTCAAAACTTCTTGTGTGTCTCTTGTACCGGAGAGTGTCATCCAACAGCACGGCTCACATTCGTTTGAGTCTAGTCCCCAGTACTGCAAAATACTCTTTGATAGCTTCAGAAGCATCTTATTTGTTTATTAGTGAAACTATAAATGGGGTTCGAGCAATGGCAGCGCAGTGCTCGGAAACGCTACGCTAACTTTGGGAAGCCAAATTCGTTCGGCCACCAAACCTTCCATTCCTCCCTATGAGCGCAGTGGTACCAGTGTCTTGAAGACGAAAACACTTGTCTAAACGGGTGCTCCGAACAAACTAAATGGGAAGAGGCCTATCGCATTTATGTAATACTGAGGAGGTAGACAAAACACCTGTGGAGTATTGCCTCGATTTTAATCTGGAACGGACTCCTGTCCTTTTGCAATATAATACTCCCCTTATTTTTGCTTTTGACTGCCTCTGAATCGCAACAGTCAGTCACCCAAAAGTACCACAAGGATGATAAGATGTACCCAATCATCTCACGGGGATTATAGGCCCAGCGCTCTTTTGCGTGCTCTAGTTTGTATTTCTTAACCCTGAAACTACATTTGAGTTCCTTACAGTTATGGCAACGTTGTGTACCACAAAATCCTGGCCCTTCACCAGATTTTGTGGTACACAACGTTGCCATAACCCTGCATATCCCTGTAATTTTTACAGGTTTTCATAGAGGCATGAATTTCTTACAAAGTTCATCTTTGGTGCCGTCCCTTTTTAGAAATTCAGGTCTTTTTTATCAAAACATGTCGAACTGTTGTGTAGTTTCGGCCGAAATTTGTCCCTAGAGATGAACCCACTCGTTGAATACGAAAATCGCATTTGCTTGTGGTGAAAAAATTGGCATCCGCGCCACATGTCTCATTTCATGCTTCAAAAAAATTGCTGAAAGCTTGTTTCCAGGTAGTTTAAACCCGAGTACAACATACGTTGAAGCAAAAACGCCTAGTAGTTGTGCCGTAGGGCTCTACTACTGAATTTTTCGAGAAATTTCAATCCATCTGCACCCATAGTTTAGAACGGTGATGTCGTCTAGCGGAAGAATTGTAATACTGGCATTTGGGGGAATCAGGCTACTCCTGAGGATAAACTTCTAAACAAATCGAAACAGTAGTATGAAGTCAAAGAAAGGTAGGTAAAACAAAGTAAAAGTAAAGTATAGCGAAGGAATTTTTTATAGTTTCGAGCCTTATGATGAGGTAGAGAAGGGGTTATAATGAGTGGCGCCACGCTCCTCGCATGTTGTCCGGAAATCAAATCAGTGGTCAGCTCTCTCTCTCAGACCAAGGGGCACACCATTCCTCAGGCCATTATATACATTGGTAGCACACTCATTTAGGAGAGTAAAAGCGCTGACGAGTACATCGACTGACTCCCAATTAAATGGATGAGTTATACGCCATTCAATATGTCAATAAGATTCTAGATCGGAAGGGATTGCTTTCTGCCCCAGAAAGGGATTGACCAACACCGTAGTTTGGGATTACACTACTCTCGTGTACTTTTTGCTTAGATCGGTAAGCACTGTACCGTGACTGCTGAGGTGCCTTCCATAGAGCGTTTTCGCTAATGACCCCTACTTGAAAATGTTATAAATTTTGCCTCCATTTCTCCCAAGAAACAACCATTCTGCGCAGGAAGTTTCGGCAATGCCAAAATCAAATCCATCCAAAATCTAACCATTTGTTTCTAGGCGGACACACATTCATGGCAACATGCGGTCCCTGTGTGCGTATGGTTTAAGAAGTGGATCTCCTTTAGTGAATCCCATATCATCTATAGCTAGCTCCGCTCTTTCCCAAAACCTTAATTCAAAGCGATTTTTTGCCAAGTTTTAGCGGAAGTTCCCTGTAGCCTCATTCCTTTCAACAAAAGACAGTGGCCGCCTCGTCCAAGTGTTCAGCGATCAATCGAATAGGCGAATGTGTTTGAACGTCTCGAATTTCACTTGTGTGTAACGTCTTCACAGTTTACGCCACGCATTTGTCAACAATGACAGAACCAAACTTTATTGTATTGATAATTTGAAAATAGTTCGCGTCGTCGATAGGGCCATAACGATGACCATTGTCTTCCGGTTGTGATGCCGGAATTTTAAAAACCAATACTACGCGTTAGCAGACCACTCTGGTGTATGCCACACTTTGTGCTGTGTTTGCGAAGAGTATCTTAATCGTAGTTAGGCTATTTTTGCCTTTGGCTCAAGCCCAATTGGAAGACTTGATTGTTCTATGCTTATCTATGGTCGCCTCTTAACCCTTGGCTGGATTAGGAACTGGCTCAAAGCTTGTTAGGTGAGAAGTGCTATCCTGCCGCTGTTTTAGCTCCCAGATCCTGACTTACGCATTTGAGTTTTTGGTCTTGTTAGAACTCTTCGTAGTGAACCGATCAGCCTGTTGAGGA